ACCCATGAGCCTGGCTCAGGGCTTCTGGCTGAGTGGCGCTCCCCCTGTGGAACGCACTGGCCACCAGGAGACAGCTCCTGCATTGAGCATCTGCCCCCTGGTGGTCAGTGCATGTCATAGCGACTGGTCAATTTGCATATAAGCCTTTTATTATATAGGATTTTTCCTAAAATACACTACACAATTCACTAGCCACTTAAGCACTGTATACTAAATATATTTGATTAGTCCCTTACACTGGTAGTTCTTACCCATCAAAATCACCTGTGGAAATCTGAAAAAGTACAGGTCCCACCTTCACGAGATTCTGATTTACTGGATCTGAAAAGGGTCCTGGTCTCCAGCCCATTGGCACATTGATCTATTCTTCCAATCCTGTGGCCTATTTCTGGCAAGCTTTTCCTCCCAGTGGTTAATGAACTTGGTTAAGATAAACCTTTAGTACTAAGAACTTAAAAATGCATCCTGATATTTGTATAATGCTTCCCTGTTCACTAAATGCTTTCACATTAATTATCACATTTGAACCTCACCAAATCAGTGAGAAAGATATTCTATGCCTTTTATGGATAGGAAATTCAGAGGTTAAATTTAACTGACTTACATAAAGTTCCCTAAAACATTACAGCAAGTTATTTCCTACATTTGTGGTTATGGTCAATGACATTTCACATTTTTAGCATAAAACTAGGGGTGGGGAAAGACACACAGCAAATGTGTTGAAATCCCTGCAGAAGTGATCCTGTAAGACAATGTGTAAATATTTTCTGAGGAGAGTGCATCAGTCAAGGAAATAGTAGTACTCCAGCAGACATTATATATATATATATATAATAGTAGTACTCCAGCAGACATTATATATATATATATATAATAGTAGTACTCCAGCAGACATGGCCAGCGTGACTCATATAAAAAACCTGTCTTCTGCCTGGCCAGCATGGCTCAGTGGTTGAGCGTCAACCTATGACCTGGAGATCACGGTTTGATTCTCAGTCAGGGCATATGCCTGGGTTGCGGGCTCAATCCCCAGTGTGGGGTGTGCAGGAGGCAGCTGATCAATGATTCTCTCTCATCATTGATGTTTCTATCTCTCTCTCCCTCTCTCTTCCTCTCTGAAATATATCATATATAATATATATGTGTGTGTGTGTGTGTGTGTG